TTGGAAGAAATGTCCTTCTAGCTTCAGTTCCAAGTGGGGGAAAAAGACACTGGAAACTTGGTGGCTGTTTGGAAAGATAGCAATAGCAATAGCAGTTAGACTTATATACCGCTTCATAGGGCTTTCAGCCCTCTCTAAGCAGTTTACAGAGTCAGCACCCACAGTCTGGGTCATTTCACCCACCTCGGAAGGATGGAAGCCTGAGTTAACCTTGAGCCGGTGAGATTAGAACCACTGAACTGCAAATAACAGTCAGCTGAAGTGGCCTGCAGTACTGCACCCTAACCACTGCGCCACCTCGGTTGCCAGATGGTTTTAATGGTGGACAGGATCACATGCCTTAAAGATGTTGGGTAAAGCGGGGTGGAAGGGAAGAGAGGCTGAGAGTCCCTGAGTTTTATAGCCTATCTGGGCTTTTGAATTTGAGCTTGTATTCTGATTGGTTGTCAGACTCCCATGGAGCCATGCAGGGGCAACCCTGTAGGCTGTCCTGAGTCCCAGGCTTGGTTGAGCCTTGCTGGGTGATATAATGTTCCCACGTGCCATGTGGTGAGATGGGTAGAGGACTTAATTCTACCTTTGTTGGATCTTGGGTGAGGGCATTTGCCTATGAATAGACCCAGCTATCTCCTTATCTCTTAAGTGCGGACATCTGCTGTGGGCCATTGAGGAGGGTGGAGGCTATTAAGAGTGAGTCTGTTTCCTGCCTAAAAATATGTTTCTACATTTCTCATCCAGGGAAATATAATAATCTGCCTTTTTAATATTTACTAAAATATTTCATTTTTCTAGGAAAGGGGTGGGTGCTAACTTCCTACAATAGTATTCTAAAACTAGATTGGTTTATAATCTGATAGCGGTTTAGAGACTCTTCCGATCTGATTTGAATTGATTTTACCAACCTATTGTGTTTAATCATGCTAAGTCTAAAGAGCTGGGATGTGTTCTTTCTATCCATTGCTTTCTGTATGTTGGTTCTGGCTGAGGATTTTCTATTGAGTGATTCAAATCCACAAGTGGGTATTTTATGCAACCTGGGAATTTCCAGGCTTATTGAGAATTATTTTTATTTTGTAATAGAATCAGCTGGCTTTGGAGATATTCCTTTTGAAATAAATCAGGAAGATAAAAGCAGCTGAACTAACACACAACAATTTTTAAAATTTTCAAAATACTTGTAGCACTTAATAGAATTAATTTAGCACTCAATGGAATAAATTAATAATATAGCACCAAAAATAAATATACTGAAACAGTATTCCCCCAGTCCTCTATGTTCAAACCGATATTTCTGCTGAGATGTGATGTTGACATAGCAATAGCAATAGCAGTTAGACTTATATACCGCTTCATAGGGCTTTCAGCCCTCTCTAAGCGGTTTACAGAGTCAGCATATCGCCCCCAACAACAATCCGTGTCCTCATTTTACCCACCTCGGAAGGATGGAAGGCTGAGTCAACCCTGAGCCGGTGAGATTTGAACAGCCGAACTGCAGAACTGCAGTCAGCTGAAGTAGCCTGCAGTGCTGCGTTTAACCACTGCGCCACCTCGGCTCTACTACTACAGACATTGCTACTACAGATTGGAGTCTTCATTTCCTTATCACAAAACAAAATTAACATTAAATATTTTCTGTAGTATTTTGCTAGCACTTAATAAATGGACATTGTACTAAACTGGGGGGGAAAGAATAACCAGGAATTAGATTTTAAAGGAAACAAACAGGAAGGGCATCATTAGAAAAAGGGCCAGCAAGTATTATCTATCAAAATCAAGTGAATTCATCTTAGACTAATTGTAAATCTGTACAAGTAATCCTCAATTTATGAATACAATTTAGATTTGAATCTTGATCTTTGAGTGAAGCAATCATTAAACAAGATGCCCATATGACTGCTTTGCTCAATAACTGCAATCCCTGCACTCCCAATTGTAGTCATTAAATGATCTTTCAGAACAGTGGTGGCGAACTTATGGCACGCTTGCCACAGGTGGCACTCAGAGCCTTCTATGCAAGCATGCCAGCCATTGCCCCAGCCCAGCTCTACCGCATATGTGTGAAATATTCTGGTTCACATTTTCATATGAGGTGGACATGCCCAAAAACAAAAACAAAAAATTGGGCAAAAATACATATCATTGGAAAAAATGATAAAGCAACAAATAGATTTAAAACCAGAAATATTTTTGTTGGGCCAGAAAACCAGAAAACAAGGGGAATACATATTTGATTTTACATGTATTAAGTGCACCTAGAATTGTATTTGCACAACAATAGAAAATTGAAGAGATCCCTAGAGATTAAAATGAGATTTAAAAAATACTAGAATGTACAGAAATGGAAGAAGAAGAAACACAATTAAAGAAAAGAAAGAAACTGAATACTTTTTAACATAAGACATTTTATCAATGGTTAGCTAATAAAAACAGAAGTTAGAAACATGGAAATATAAGAAAAGGACTAATGATACAAGGGATGTTTATTAAAATAGGTTATTATTATTATTACCATTATTATAGAACTAATACCAATGTAATGAACACTGTTGTAACCACTTTGATTATTATTTCCTAAAAATATTTGTATTCAGACAACACACTGTTTAACTGAAAATGGATTTTATATGTTATTAATATGTATGTATGTATGTATGTATGTATGTATGTATGTATGTATGTATGTATGTATGTATGTAT